TCTCAAGCTCTCGAACTTTTTAAAAATATATGCTCCCATTTCAGAAAAAATAAATAGTTTTATTTATCTGCAATATTTGAAAAAAAATCTATAAATTAATTCAGAAATTAATAACTTTTAAATTATAATTTTTGGTGTTTTAAAAATATATGTCTGCAATATTTGATAATTTGAAATAAGTACTTTACTTTATTATTTACTTTTAAAATTATCTCATGCTTTAGTAATTTGCTAGTAAAATTAATTAAGTGCGAATATGTATAAATAAAATTATCGAAACATTTAATTATTGAAACATTTTTTCACATTTTTGTCTTAACCATTTCAGAGTTGCACACTCTTTTACACTGCAAAAAAATTCTTGATAATTGTTTTTGCTTAGTTGTAATTCTTGATTAGAAATAGCTACCGGCTAGCAAGAACATTCAAATCTAAAGGAGTTCGATGCTTGATAACAATGCAAGTTTCAAGGCTTTTATGAAAGTTATGAGCAGATATTATCAGAAAATGCATTTATTATCAATTAAAATTACGACTTCATTCCAAATAGCTAGATCACTTAATTTTAATTAGATCTCAGTACTAGACAATGCAAGTGTCTACTAATACCTTCTTTAATATACTTACTGGCGAAAGTTCCCAAATTTCAGCTATTAATTGTGACGTAATTATAGCAATCTCATCCCCCCTTTTTTTTCGTCAATCAATTTTTGAAAACTCACTTACCTAAAAAAATAAAAAATGTATCAAAAACAATTTCCTGCTTGAAACTGTGTTTTTTTCTCTGCAAATGGACTTCTCTGACATTTTTGAATTTCTTGTTTTAATTAATATTTCTGTTTGAATTTACGTAAATTCGTTTTCAGTTTAGACACCTAATAATTTGTGTTGGAAAAAAGCTTATGTACCATACCACGTGGTACCTCTATATTAGACCTGAATCTAATAAATACACTACTACACGTACACATAATTCCTACAAATTTAAGTTAGAACAGTAACTAAAATCGTAGAACATTATTAAGATTATATCATACTACCACTACACGTGCGCATGCAAGATTATAATATCTTTACCCGTATAGGTCAGTACAAAAGCGTAAACCAAAATTCTCTAGAATAAAAAAATTATTTTTAAATAAAGCTACATGGTTGAGAAAATAAATTAATTACAACAAAAAAATAACAGTAGAGGTTTCAAAGACGTCAAGCCTTTATGATACATAAAAGTTTAAAACAAGTTTAAGATTTTAGAAAAACTTACTGTTTTCTTAGTCTCAACCTTATATATTTAAATATTGATTAGGTTTAAACGACATAAAAAGAATACACGTTATTTGCCGCCCCAAAAAAACATGCGAATGCTTTGGTGCTATAACTAGTATATGTTCCTTCAATACTAAGTCACAAACCGATTATGAAATATATTAATAGGTTAAACAATGTGAACAAAGCACGAATAATAAAGCAAACGCACGAATAATATGCGACTGTTTCAGTTTTACACGCAAGAACTTTTCTCAGTGTCGAAAGTCGGGATGACAGCAGATAACACGGGGGAAGCAAATAGAAACAAGGAAAAAGTAATTTAATTAATATAGAAAAAAGAAACAAATTTAAACAAGATATTCAAATAAAGGAAGGAGATAGAAATAGGTGTAGGGGGAGTTGGGTAAACAACCCAGGTGTGCGAGAATTAAAATTGGGAAAGAATGTAAAAATAAAAAGATCATTAACTAAATTATCCGTAATTTTTGAAATATGAAATAATTAAAAAAATTAAGGTTACTAGATGTAAAGCAGTATTAAGCGACATCAGAAGAAAATTCAAACCTATGTTCAAGGTACGTGAGGCCATGAAAAACCCTTTAATATCCTGATTTTGAACATATCTGCCATGCTCTTTCTCTTAGCAAAAGTTGAAATACACGTTTTTCAAGTAAAATAAATGCAAGACTACGCTAACAAAGAAAAATTACTATTAGTGTGTATTTTGTAGCTGAAGAAGGTGCCTTACACTTGACATTATTTGTATTTTTCGAAGTTGTTTTAATTTTATTCATTACCGTGTTATTTTTTAAAAACAACATACAAATGTTAATAAACATTGGAAATAGAATGATAAAAGATTTGTGATAAAAGATTTGTGAAGAATGCATTTCAGTTTGAAGTAATAAATCATTATGAGCAGACTACATCCATGAAAGTTCTATTTATTGATTTGTGTAATTTCATTAAATCCATTCAATTAAATATTAAAACACCGAAACTCTTTTAATGTATATCATAAATTGTTAGTAAAACATGCATGAACTATCTGTTACGTCATTTTTTTTTATATTCTATTAAATGCATCACCCCTACATAAAAAGAAAGAAAACAATCGTATATTATTCTCTTTGAGAAGTTTAGAAGAGAGCGAAAATCTGGTCGGAATTCAAAGCAGAAGTAAATGGAAAGAAAACTTCAACCACTGTATGAGAAGGAACTTCCACTCACCAGCGGAAAAGGAAAGGCTTTAGAAAGGAGAATGAAAAGACCCGAACAATGCGCTGTATAAATCAATAAAATTCTATCTTTTGCCGCTATTTTCAAACTTTTATATTCGAAGAAATAGCTGCAATACTTGACATACTTCACACCAAACCTCTCTGAATTATTTAAGTCCCAAGAAATAGCATTGGAATTGGAAGTGGTTGAGAAAATTTCTTTAATCTGCCCTGCAAGCTCTCATAGTTTTTAAAAAATTCTGTCCCTTTTCTGGTTAACAAATATTTGATGGTTCTTTATTAAGGAAGAATTTATCTCATTTGTTTATTGCAAAAATCACATAAATGAAACATTTAGATATATTTGTATAAATAAATAAAAAATTTAAGAGTCTCTATGCTTATTTTTTTTAATAACTAATTGGGTCGAAGCATAACCCGTTTTTCAATGTTGAATTAACATATGCAGAAATTATTTGAACGTTAAACGGAATTACGCATGTATAAATTAATAAACTTTGAAAAAATTGTTCATACTTTACCCAAAAATTTACTACGCTGACTTGTGTTTGTACAGAGTTAGATTACATCATAAAAAATTAAAATAGCGCTTAAGTATGGCAGTCGAAAATATGATTTTTTTAAAAATTCATGCAATAATTATGTACAATATTTTTAAATAATTTTAGCAGAAAATATTATTTAATATTTCAAAATTTATTTGAAGTGTTTACTCAACCATTTTAATGTATGACAAGTGTAAATTCAGATAACGTGGTTTAAATAATAGTTTAGGTATAGCAACTTTTAATTCAATCAGTTAATTTAAAAATCAAGATTATGTATATGCACGTTTAGTGCTAAAGATATTCCATTTAAAAAATATATACGAAAAAGAGAACAAGAGGAAAAATAAATCGGGAATAAAATACTCGAAATAAAAAAATAATAATATACGAGACATTTGCAACAAAAAGTTTTCATACGACTTCAGACAAATTTTAATTGTTCAATTATTTTTTCAAATTTTTTACATTGGTAAAAACATCAAAAATAAGCGAAAAATGTGTAGATAAATATTTGTAAATTATGGTTTACCAAATGTTTCGATAATTCACTTTAACTGCTTCTAAAATTCCATCTAAAAGTATGCATACTATTTTATTCGTAGTATTTTTAAATTAATCAATAGGTAAAACTACAAAAATGGAAACAAATACTACATAAAACACCAAAATATTTAAAAAAATGCACATCATTTGCAAAAAGAAATATTCATAAAGCTGCAGACGAATTTCAGTTATTCTTTTCTCTTTTAAATGTATTTTTGGCGAAATCTAATACAAAAATGTAAAAATTACATGCATGCAGAGAAAAATTGGGAAACATTATTCCGTATGAAAATAAAATAATTAAAGCTAGCAAATTTATTTCAATCTATTTCTTTATTGTATTAATCAAAAACAAAAATAAATTAAAGGAACTACCATTCTTTGATCTTGTGTACATAAATGCTTAAAACAAAAATTGAAGCTACAACAAGCAGTCATAAACAAATATTTTAACGTACAAATATTTGTGAAAATTTTAAAGTCAGTCATGCAGTTGCGAAAATATTTTTTTTTCTTTTAAAATAAGTCAAAGATTTTTTATTAAAAAACTGTGAAAGGTTTCGATGCTTTATTGATACAAATTTTTGATAATGCTACTCGTATTTCTAAAATAATCAATTGAAAAGAAAAGTCAACATTCGGCATTCATAGGATAAAGTAAATATCCAGTATTCATGTTTACTTATAACATATTGACAGTCATAGTGAAAGTAAAAAGTTAAAAAAAGAAGAATTTTTAAATTTTCTGCTTGAATAATATTTTTATCTCACTTTTATTTGGCTTCAAAATAGAATGTTTTAAACACTTTCGAAGAATATTTGTATTAAAATGAACATTAAAACAAAGATTAAAGTTTTTAAAATTTCGTGCATTTAACAATATATCATGGCATTTATAATTATATAGACGAACTAAAAATAACAAATAGCCATTATTGTCAAAAAATATCGACTGAATTAATAATTATTCACTGCGAATAAGTTTAAATAGCAAATTGAAATTAAAATAATTTTAAAAAACTAAGAAGTATGAAAATAATAAGTTATATGTTTTATAAATCCAAATAAAATGCAGACTTAATTTTTATCTTTTTAATTTTTTTTTCAGATAACTAATTTTAGTTTCCTCGTTTTCTAAAATCTATTTTTATTAGAAATTTCTTATAAAATGAAAATATGGATAGTATTGAATGTTTTGTGGGAAAACTGTACTGAAACTAATTTAAACTTACCATTATATTTATTGAAACTCCAACACTACAAATAGTACTTCTATTAGAGTTACTTTAAGAAAGTAAGTATGTAATTATTCAATTATTTCGTATTAATTACTTTTGTGATATCTGAATTGAGTTGTTATAAATATCAATAGAAAAATTCAAGTGACACAAATTCTTACTTGGAGTGAGTATAAGTATGGCTAAAGCAATTACAGAGCATATCGTAATGATGACTAGGAGCGAAATTCCGATCCCACGCCAATTGTATCCACTATCTATACTTTCCTCATCCTCCTGCAAAAAAAAAAGAAATATTTATCATATCTTGACTAATATGTAAGTTTAACAATGGCAAATATTCTACACAACTCACTCTATAGCGTAACCACTGAGTCTTATATGGAACGCGTAAAAATGTTGTGAATCCCAGAAAATATTAGATTTACATCTAAAGCATAGATATGTTGGTTTGTTTTTTTGCAACCATAATAAAAATCATTATCTAGCATATAACAGAATTAAAATTTCTCAATTCATTTCAAATACTGTATTGCATAAAACGTAGTGCTGCCATCTATTTATTAGACATCAAACAAATACACATATTCCACCTACTAGAACTAAAATCTAAAAAATTTATCTAAAAAATTTTGTAATCTAAATCATTTCTAAAAAATCTAAGAAATTTCGGATCAAACTCCGATCAAAAGAATTGCTACCTTGAATGCAAATTCCGAAAAAATCATTTTTAGCATAAAATTTCATGTTGCTATTTTAATAGTAATCTCTACATATATTTCCTTCAAGTGGCACCATATTTATGTATGTATTGATAAAACTGTAGTTATTATTATTTATTAGTTAAGCTGTTTTAAGTAATAATTTAAATAGTTTTAATAAATAGTTATATGTTAAGTATTTATTTAGATTCATTTTGTTAGGTTATCTTAAATAATATTTCAAATTGTGTTGAATAGTTAGTTATGCAATGACAATAAATGACTATTTGCACTGAATTAATTAATTTATTAATTAATTAATTTAAACAAATTTTAACCTTTATAAAATAACTTTAATTTAATTGTAATTGTCCGGTGTAACAAACAGTTAGTTTTTATTTATTAATATTATTGCTGTAAAGCTTTTTATTTGTTTTTTGTACGCATTGAATGGGTTGTGGTTTATGAACAGCCACCCTGGATGAATGCAGGTAATACGTGTAGACTTTACTGTTATGAAAGAATGTATAAATGAAGGATAAAGTCTATAAACCGCTTTCTACCCATGTATGCAAGCTCTGATTTATAAACAGTCACTCCATGAGAGAATGAATACCAATAATATGGTTTATTCCTAATTTACGAACGTGATTTAAACTCTACAACGATTAACAATTTGAATTTTTTTTAATTAATTTTTCCTCTTATTAAGGGTTCTGTTATTAAATTTTCCAAATATGTTTTATTAAAGTGGTATTGTATAGATGGCAGCACTGAAATGTAATTTGCTTCATATTTTTTCTACCAAATATACATTCAAAAAATTTTTTAGACGATTTAAGCTGTAAACACTGTCTTATATCTTTTTCTTCTTAGTAAATTTTTGTTAACTGTTTTATTACTATATCTATTTTTAAAGCATTTTAACTTTTACTCCGCCTTGGCAACTTTGTTTTCTGCTTTATTTTATCTCATATTCATGCATTTTTATTTTTTAGCAATAATAGATGCATTTAATGCAGCAATATAGATGGAGAGTAATTTTAATCTTACGATAATTATTCTTTATTTTAAAATATTGCATTTACTATCATAAAAGGAATGCGTCCTCAAGAGAACCTTTACGTTCTATCATAGAACAAAAATTTACAAATATATATGTAGTTAATGCTCGACAGGTGCGTAGGAGGTAGTACAGAATGCAATAGAGTATAAGTATCAGTTTTTTTTTAATCTTACCTCACGACAAAGATGAAAAAAATTTAATTTTAATGCTTCCTACTATGACGAAATATCCTGAACATATACTACGTTGGTTTGTGTGATTTGATGGCAGCTAGATATATGTTGTTATAAGTTGTTCAAGATAATTTTGAAAAGTGACCAAGCTGTTGGCCAAGGATTGATAGTATTCACTTAACTACAGTGATTCAGTGATTTTGTACTAAATGTTACTGTAAAAATTATGGTGTATCAGTTTTTTGTTCCACCAAACTTAACGACAAAAATGAATTTTACGGTTAAAAGTACTGGAGCCCTGAGTACCGGTACTTTTTACCTTAATTTAATTCGGGATTTTTTTACTGTGCACACTACGAATAAATGTAGCCATATGCATAACATTAATCCATGCATTTGCCAATTTAAATTTGAAAATTGATTTTTAAATAGTGAAATTTTTTTAACCGTTAGATTGTCTTTGGTACACTACTGCAGTCGAACTAGTTTTTAAGGAGACCACGAAGACCGAAATGATGTATTTGTCAAGAGTCTGTCTATATTATCTAAAATAAAATATATAAAGCACAGAAATGACAAAGAAATTATTCAAAAATCGCTTACCTTAGATTGTATTAAAATAAAGAAGAAAAACCTGAGATTTTTTTTTATTTAAGTTCGTGCTAATTTCTTCAAATGTTAAAAGCAGAATGATAAACAAATATAATGATATTAGCAAAGTGAAAAGGGAAATCTGATCTAGAGAAAGAGTTATAATAAAAAAAAATGCAGATACATAGAGGCAGTCACGTGAGAAACAAGATGAAGTTTAATAGTTTAATGGTTATTATTGGTTTTGTTAGATCTGGTCACCAAGTTACAATTTGCAATCAGTACACTTTCCCTCGTTAGGGTGAGCCACGTTAAACTCTTTAACGTGACAGTCTCCAGCACCCGGTTGTCGGTCTTTTTGATTGGCACGTGTGATTTCGTCAGTGTTTCGGTTTTAGTTTTAACTTGACACTCTGGCTCTTTTAAAAATAAAAATCTGGTTGTCATATTAAATTTCGCAAAAATAGGCAAATTAAGAATATATAGGCAAATTATGAATTGGTGGTGAAAACATTCTCCAGCTTGAAAGATTGAGAATTTTTATTTTTTTGTTTTTAAAATGTCCTTAATAGATTAATATCAAGCAAGCTTTTCTTATCCTTTTTAAATTAAATTTCTTATTTCTGAAACATTAATTTTTTTTTTGCATTAAAAATGATTTATCAAAAATGACAAATTTTTTCTTCTTTTCTCAATGTAAAAATTATTTTTAAACCACTTTACCTCGTGAAGAGTAAAGTATATGTTTATTACTCAATCACCTTTGTTGGGTTTTTTTAAGCTTCCTTAGTTTTGCTTTTAAATCACGTTAAATTTTTAAAATCAAAGAAGTAAAAAGTAAGGAAAAAGCAAACCCAAAAGTGTAAATGAAACACATGCACGTTTCCATTGGCAAAACACAAAATGTATAGAGAAAAGATTCTTTTTATAACTTGCTTTCTGCTTTTATATGTTAGTACTTCATAAAATCGAGAAACTTGATAGTTTCGTGGGGTCATAAAAACCTTAGAGTATTGCTTGGTGGAATAACTATTTCAGTTATCTTCGTTTTTTGTTTTTTTTTCATTCCTTGTGTTTCAGCCATTTTATTCCGCTTAAGCGAAAGAGTTGAACTATTACCAAAATTGCTGAGTTCAGAACTTTCAACGCCTATTTTTCTTTTATTGCTTTATATTTAGTTTTATTACAGAATTATCGTTAACAAAATAAGATTTCATTTTAAATTTAATTTCAACTGAAAATGTATTAAATGAAGAAAAAAAAATATTATCTTTAAATTTATATCAGTATTTTTAAAAACAAAATATTAAAGCAATGTTTTGCGATTTTATATGAAGGCACGCTTTTTATCCGGAATAGATATTTTGACAATTTTTTGTGAAAAAGGAAAAATATTAATTAAGTTTCAAAGTGATTGCTTTAATAGTAATTTTAGCAGAGGACATTAAAAAGCGAGAAGTAATAAATATTTTAAACGCGAAAGCAAGCTTTTTTTAACGAAAAGGCACAGATTCTTATTTCGGAGGTGATTGACTGATTTCTACACGAAGCTCGACTATTAATGTATTGACTGAAAAGCGTGTACTCTTGCATGCATGAAAATTAAGGAACGAACTAATCTTTAAAGACAATCGTCAAAGTAAATCAAAAATTATGATTTCAAAAGAAAAGATAATTGAAAAAATCCAAGATCATAAAGAAATAGGCTTCACATCGCATCAAATCATATATGCTACGTAATTATATACCATACAGGATTCAAATTTAAAAGTTTGGCTATTGTTTTCGATAATTTAATTACTTATTACAAAGAAACCTCGCAGATGAGTACATAAAAATTGTAAGAAAACACCAACAGTTTATCCCTCTGAATAAACCACTTTATTAAACTTTTCATGCAAATTTAAAAAAAACTCAGTAATTACACTATTTTTTACAATACATCTTAAAAGACATTAGAATAACAGTTAATTGGAAATGATTTTTTTTCTCTGCGACAAACCCAGTTCCTTTTCTTTGTAGCTAAAAATGAGAATGAGTAATTTTCATGGACTTTAAAGTAATTTTTCTTAAACTCCGCTTGAGTAAAAACATGGAGGGGGAAACAAATCAATTTCATGGGAAAATTAGAATTTCTCCCACCCCATATCTACTCGTTTCCGAAAGACAAAGAAGAGAAATGCTTCCACTTAAATGAAAAAAACCGTTTTCTTAAAGTAGAAGCAATCCATCTTCAAAATTTGTCGCCGATATTTGTTGGGTAAGAAATTCTCTAAGTTTTGATTCTGTGAGTGGATAGAACAGAACTTTTGTTTCCTGCTTTTCTTTCACTTTCCTGTTTTTAATGTTATTTTTTTTTATTTTAGGTTTTCTGTAAGACGTTTCCTAATCCGTAACAGCTGTCAATGGAAGAATACTTTGAAGAAAAGAAATGAAAGGAATTTTAAGAGCCCTATTTTGCCACTACCTGACGTGACATCAATGGTTTTAAGATAGTTTTTAAAATTATAAATATGATTTTACGATTGTATTGCTTCACATATGTATTAAAATCTACCTTTTGTTCATTATATATATATATATATATATAAAGGAAACACGTCCTAATTGTGTGAAAGCAAAGTTTTTAAAACGTAACCTTTTCTACGGTATAAACTTATTTAATTGTTCTAAATTTTTTTCTCCAAATCGTTGACATCTGAGTTTCTAAGTGAACTAAGGGACCGATTTTGGGTGTTTTTAGGA